TTGGTCAGACCAAAGGGCATGACCAAATACGCGTGATAGCCTGTTGGGGTGTTAAAGGCTTACACTACTCCCCCTCCCAGATGTGAAACAGGTGGCAGGCATTACATAGGTAGAGTTAGTGAAGACAGTTGTTCCCTGCAGCAGCTCAATGGCAGACGAAATGAGGGGGAGTGGGTCCTTCTTTTCAACAAAGAAAAAAACAGCTCCTGCAGGTAATGATCAGGGCCAGATGATGCCAGCAGCGAAAGAGTCATTGATGTATGTATTTCTCCAAAGAGGGAGTACAGGTGTCACTTGGGAGAAATGTGATGGGCTGCAGGTTGATGGCGCAGTAGTAAAGTCGATGTGGAGGTAAAGATGTCACCTTGGCCTTACTGAATACCTCCCAGAAGTCATAGTATTCAGGGGAGACCCATGCTAGAGCAGGTAGGAAACGTCATCAGGCAGGCAGAGGATCCAAAACCAGGTAAGCACATGGAAGGGGCCAACACACAAGTGGGGAGCAAGCAGAAGGTAGCTTAGGCCAGGCGAGGAATTGAGGAACCAGCAATGACAGTGAGTGATCTCCGTGACACAAAGACAGTGTATGCCGTCACACGTCAAATCCCTCCTCAGCATAGGTTAGCACAGGCAGATAAACATGCCGCAGAATGAAATGTGGAATGCAGAGCTCATAGTCAGGGACAGAAGGCTGAAAAGTTTACTGAGAAGCAGACGAAGCAGGAGAATCAAAGACAGGCAGGGTCGGCCATGAGGAATCAGTCTAATGGTGGATGCTCGAAATACTTGCATGGGAATAGCGAAGAATAATCTGGCATATCCGTGAGGCTGGGGTATATACAATACTGTGTAATCAGGAACAGGTGAAATGGAGTTACCTTGATGAGGTGGGCATGACTGATGCTGAGGTGCAGGAAACCAGGATGAGTGGAAAATTACTGAATGGGAGGAAGGTGACTGGGCAGGCAGAAGTGAACAGGTGACCAAAAATGCAGAACAGCAACAGAGGTTTTGGATGACAATATAACTCTATGGTGCAGAAGCATGAGCTATTAAGTTTTTGGACTTGTTAAAAGGAAAAATTGTCTAACTGTTTTTGGTTTCTTCATGGATTTTTTTTGAAAATTATGAAATGCAGCCTTCTCTTTTCATTGCAATATTACATCCACATGAACACACTTACACACAAAGCCTTTTAAAGGCAAACCTGTCATTTGTGATACTAGGCTCCATATACAGTATATATGAACTTGACTTGACTTCATAAACCAGCTGCACAATGTAATACATGTTCATACATACATTATGGAACAAACCCAGAAAGAGACACATGCACGGTGGCACAAAATGCCACAAAGACATTTTGAAATCAACATCCACACTCTGAGGGTAATGTTCATGGTGTGAGTGAAGGACAAAGGGCTGCAGCGGTCTCTCCACTACTGAAAGCTTAATTAACGCACCCAGTCAGGGTGAGAGCCTGATTACTCCTTCTCTCCCTCTGCTCCCTTAATATGCTCCCTTCACTATCTACATCTCCCTCTGTCACATGTGCCTGTTCCTCCTCTCTGGTTTTGCTGTCTAAGTTTTCCACATCACTCTCATTTCAAAATCTCTCTTTCTCTCTTTGAGTTGGTCTCTTCGCTCTGCCTCCTCTTTTTTCACTCTCTCACTTGAGGCAGATGTAACAGACTGAAATTCCAGACAGATAAAGAGATGTATGTTTCAGTATCTGGGATGGATACAGACAATCTGTCAGAGGCGACAAGCAGTGGCAGAACAGAAATGAGAGGAGACAAATGACTGAAGACGGCAGTGCTCCCTCAGAGCTAAAACATCACATAATTTCAGGGTTTTATGAGTCATTTTGTTAAGTTATATCATGTATTACCCCTGTAATGATTGCCAAACCTCAAACTCAGGAGATTTTTTAGTCCTGGGTGCAAAACCTACTTCTTACACTCAAAATGTGAAAAAGAAATTTTGAAATGTGTTTTTATAGATCTGGACTTGCGTTGCTGGAGTATGGGTTGTAGGGACAGCTTGGAGACATCTGCACTTCATACATGTTAGCATGTGCAATATGGGCATTTAACTTGCTACGCATGTACTTAGTCATCTCCTCTTTTTCAATATTAATAGACAGAATATGAACGAGCAGTCAATGTGATATTCCGGTGGTATCTCCTCTATTTGCAGATGATGTTGTCCTTTTGGTTTTATTAGACTTTGACCTTTGATATACCATGAAACAGTTTGCAGCTCAGTGTGATGCTGTCATGATGAAGATCAACACCTTTAAGTCTGACCACATGCTTCTCACTCCATAAGTGATGGACTGCTTGACCCTTAAATGCAAACATCGAATCTTTAGCAACTCGCGGCTATATAGACCCTGTCTGATTCATTCAGTTAAAGGGGACCTACTATGCTCATTTTCAGGTTCATGCTTGTATTTTGAGTTTCTAGTATAACATATTTACATGCTTTAATGTTCAAAAAAGCTGTTTTTCCCATAAGCTGTGTCTCTTTAAAGCTGCGGATGGTAAAAAATAACTTTTTTCATATTATACATATATGACAGAAAATGGGGAAAAGCAAAATAGGCCACCTTTAACATTGAAAGGAGCCAGTTAAGGTAGTTAAAGTATGCTGGCACTAAAGGTTTGACCAACTGGGAGGAGACTTACAGGCAGATCAAGCACACATTGGAGGGATTCAATCTCCCAGCCGGACTGGGGTTTCTGGAGGAACTTCTCTGGATGAGGACATTTGGGCTGCTCTGTTTGTCCTGTTTCCACCACAACTATGAGCAGGATAGATGACTTGTAAATGGATGTATAAATGGATAAGGCACCATTGAAAACATTTCTGTAGAGGTTGGTCATATATTAGGATACTCATTCTGAGTGTTATCTATTCATTACAATAACGGGGCACATTTTGGTTTAGCGGTGTGGCTCTGCTCCAGCGATGCTGCGAAAAGAATCTGCACAAGTGTGACACAGACTTGCCTTGAAGCTCACAAACACCGAGCAGAGTGTGCGGTACACAACACTTAAATTTATTGGACTCGTAACTGAATGGAGAAATCTAAATGCTAATGCAAAAGGGGGCGGGAGAGGTGGGGGGAGTTAAACTGCTGAGAAGCAGGCGGCAGTTGTAGCTGTATGGAAGCAGCACTGAGCAGAATAAATGAGCACCAAATCTATTTGTGTGCTGCCCAGTTGCTTGGATTAGTGGTCATATATGATTGAAGGAGTATGAAACGTTTAAAATGGTTCTATACCTGCCTGAACTACCACATAGCTCCATTTCACAGTCCTTTGTTATATACAGCGTGTCCATTACATGCCTGCTGATTAGTAACAGTGTGTGACGGCTGCGTCCCATTATTGATGCTGTTTGTCTGTATTTCCCACATGTTGTCATGATTATTGAGACTGTTCTCTTTGATATAATAAATGTCTTCACAGCGTTTTTGATTGATGCACCTGCAGCTCGGTCACAGATGATTCTCTCGGTGATGTGTTTGTTGTCTCGTGTTGCTTTGAAAACTCACATATCAAAGTGCTGATTGTCACATCTCTTTCATAAATTACAAATGTTGCTAAATGGCATTCAACCTCATTCGACCTACCTTTGTACCACCATTTGCAATGGTGATTTAAATACTTCAAAGTTGAAGCCATCGTGTACACAAATTGATAGATTGAGACGTTTTAAAAACTAAAAGGACTGCCTCATAAGTAACTGGTTACAAAAGACAAACCCGATCACCAGAATAAATGTTAGCATCTCACGTTTCTGCAAACCATGGATTCGTTACTTTTGTATATTATTATATAGCAGATACATTGAAACTTTACATTTCAACAGTGCTGTGGTTAAATAAGGTTAGGTTTAGGCACAAAAACCACTTGGTTATGTTTAGGGAAAGATCCTGTTTTGGCATAAAACACTGCATTTGGGGGCACAATCCTAGCAGGAAAAGCAGCAATTTCTAAATAAAAATAACAGTTTTTCGTGCTACTATTCTGGCAGGAAAACCAGTGATGGCGTGGCAATGACACAATAATCTTTCATGCCTAAAAATCCTCAGCAAGAGCTCCCTAGAAACACCCATGTTTGGTACCTAAGAGCTGCTGGGAACGGTAATGACTTGCATAAAGACAACAAGTTTTGCTGTCGAAGTCGCAAAGTCAGCTTATATATTATGTCCCTTTAAAAACACTGATATGATACGTATGACCTGTACCATATTTGTGGTTTGCAGACTCCTAACAATCCCAACATTTTCTTCTAGTGACAGTGCTGGAAAGACACCTTAAATTATGATAAACATGGATTCTACTGAAAATACAAAGTCTCCCACTGCCGTATTCTTATTTGAGCTACATTATCCTGCTTCTCTACACCACTCACTGTGATGTACAGTATGTCGCAGGCCCATTAAAAATGGAGTCCCCCCTCTGAGAGCCATGATGATGTTCAGTGTGTTCCCAGCACATGTGCACAGCATGTACAGGAAAAAACACTCACAAATGCATACACAGACGCAGGCTTAGTGCATATAGCATGAGTCATGCATAAGATGAGGGACTGGAAAGAAATACGTCAAATCACCAATGTTGTTATTTAGAGCTGGACAGGAAGAGCAATGTTGTGTTGTTCAATCAATAAAGGCCATTTCAAATGAAATAAAATACATGACGATCCATGCCACACCAGCAACGACGTCAATATCTATAAATCATATCTGTGCTTCCCAGAGAGTAGATTGATTACAGAGCTCTGAAAAACCAACACGATTAGATTCAATATCAGGAGGCAAATGATACTCGGGCAGATTGCAGTGTGAGCTGGACTTTCTTTTTTTTTTTTTTTTTTTTTTTACAATGGCCAGCTATATCCTTCTCTCAATCTGGTAAATGTGTAATTCGGAATAATAATGACTGACAGAGAAAGATGGAAAGATCAGGACTCTGAGAGTAACAAACCTGCTCAAAGAATTCATCCATAAAGCCTTTGTCCATCCCCACAGCGACTTCATCCTCCTCCTCTGTCGTTTCCTTTCCCTGGACACACAAAAATCATCATTTAAATCATGTTAGCTGAAAGATAAAATTATGAACATGTTCACTATATATAACCCTAAATATAACCCCAAAGAAAATACTGTGACACTCGTCATGACCAGACTGGACCATGTAATACATCATTCAAGGTTAGACAGAACAGTATTAACACTCACCCCACCTCTTCACCCATCAACTGATTAGAAACGAGAACTTAATGACACTTGTAATTAGAACCACAGGTCGAGTGATTAGCAAGTTATTATTGAATTAGGACCTAAGGGCAGAGAAAACCTTGACTTTTAAACACTCCAGGCTGCACACTCAGACACCAGCATGTTCATATACAGAAACATTCCAGTCTGAAGGAATAGTTAAATATTTTGTGAAACAAGCACAGTGTTTGATGAAAAGGTCGATACCACTTTTATATTTTTCCATTAAATATGAAGTATAGCTAAGAGTTGGTTGGCTTAGCTTAGCATAAAGACTGGCTACTGGGACAAACAGCTAGCCTGGCTCTGTCTTATTAAGCTAACAAAATCCACTGACCAGCACCTTTAAAGCTCGTCGACTAACTAAAACTGAACTAAAGCCAAAGTGTTAAAGGAACATGTTGTGGTTTTACATTGAGCTACATGCAAGGCCAATGCACTCTCATCCCAAGTTGTCAAATATTGATGCTTTCTTGCCCCTTTGGCATGTTATAGCCTACCAACACCAAAGGCACCCTTTGGCATCTCCATGAGACGCACCCTTTAACAGTTGTCGCCTGAGTGAAACTTGTTGTAGCATGTGGTTAAAGTTGTCAAACTGTAGGGATTAGATTCAGGCAAAAAAACATCTTGGTAAGCTTTAGAGAAAACATTCTGTTTTGGGCTAAAATAAGTATGTAATGTGTCGTAAATACGTGACATGAGTGACATCAGTAAGTGATGGACGGATGTAAGTTACGTAAAGTTATGTTAAAACAGCACTGACTTTCAGTTTCACACCGGACACTGACAGCGGTGTCCTGGGTGAAAGTCTGCATTTGTCTAGTCTCTATACAGACTCGACATTCAGTGAATGTAGAGTCTGTAGGCAAACCCCGGAGATCTTGCCTCCGGAAGAAGAACAGAAGAGCCCTGGTTTCCGGCTGCAGTTGTTGCCAGGTTAAACGGTCCGTGCAGTTAACTAACGAGGCGGAACATAATTGGCGTCACTGCAAACTCTGAATCCATCGCAATGGTTCAGCATATTTACTTATATATAAATGGAAGTCGGAAACGGAAATTCGCCTCCTCTGCCCAAATCAATGAAAAATGGCAAAAAATCGGGGGTCTGCCCCCAGAGGCTGTACCGCCGTCTGCCGGAAGTCAGACGCTGAATACAGCCGATGGTTTCCGAGAATGGCATTTGTCTAACCCATCCATCACTCCTCACCCCAACCCTACAAGGACTGTCTTGCGCTTTATTTTATGGCAGTTGCTCTGAGCATCAAATATATCCACAGATGGGTTTACATTGGATTTAGTTGAAAGCCAAGTACGTCTCACAGCAATACTAAAGGGCATCATCAACGGCATCATTAGCACATGCAGAAGGCCATGACAAAGCATTGGTATTTGACAACTTGGGAATGAGAGCGGGCTGGCCAGGCGACACAGTAACTCTAAGCAAGAAAATGAATGTTTCCCCATATGTCCAATTATTAAATGTATAACATGAGAAGCAAATATATGCAAAAGGATGGCTCACAATCAAAGAAAAAGTAGAGCGGAATCTGCTGTCACTCTCAATGAATTACACTAGATGACAACAACAAAAATAAAGTTTGCTGCGTTTTCTGCTGCTGCAAAATGGTTTATTTACATCAGCAAGATGTGAAATTGTTCAGCAAATAAGGAATGCATTGTGACTTCTAACAGGTTGGAAACAAAATATATGTGGCAAGCTTTTCCATTTCTAACGCAAACTGTAACAAAATTACTATTCATTGATGTCATCTCAAACATTGTTATAAGGCCTGTAAAGTCTGTCTAAAGCCAAAAGAGTTTCCAACATCCAAATATGAAACTTTACAGCTCAACTTGTTCATCTTAAAAAGTTACAGCTTCTCAAACTTTACAGCATCTAGCCAATGATTCATTCTGACATACATGGTCATTTTTAATCACATATCAGCCATTACACCACATTAGCAGGGCTCTCATGCGGCGTCATCTCATTCATATAGTCTCTGTCAAGCTAATTCACTTCCCCATTAGCAGTCTATGAGATCCATTTGCTTATCAGCGCTGTGGAGAGGCAGTGTAGTTTTCATTTTCTCCTTTTTCTCATCCCCAAAAGTTCACAATCAAGAAAAAAAAAACCTGCAAATTAATCACAGCCCTTGACTACAGAACACAGAGGAATCTACAGAATCTCATATGATGTACAACAGCCACTTTAATTAGGATTTTATTGATGTCTCCTTCTTATCAACAGGCAAACTCTGATCGCCAGCCACCCCTAACCTTTCCAAGTCAAAATATTCTTTTAAAAATCCTCAACAATCCAGAATCAAATATCCCTCGTAAAAAGCCATCGCTGTCAAACGTTGCAGGTTTCATGATGTTCTGGGAGTTCTTGCCTTGCACTGCCTTTTAAAAAAGAAACCACTATGTAAACAATCTTTAAACAATTAGGTCCAATTAATATTTAAAAACCACAAAGAGTTGTATCGAGATATTATTTTCATACACCCACATGTGTGGGCAGTCAGCAGGTCTGTCCAAACAAAGACACTAATGTGCATGCATTAGTCCAGCAGTGCAGAGTGCAGGAAGCCAGAGAAAGCATCGTATTATAAGTTGGGGGGCAATTTTCACTCAAGTAAATGGGCTGCCATGGATGTTTTAACAATTGATCCCTCTTTAACTGTTTAATACATCCATGATAACTACCTTTACTTTACATCAGGGACATGCTAATGTTCAGCTGATTGTTATCTACACTGAACAAAAATATAAACGCGACACTTTTGTTTTTGCTCCCATTTTTCATGAGCTGAACTCAAAGATCTAAAACATTTTCTACATACACAAAAGACCATTTCCCTCAAATATTGTTCACAAATCTGTCTAAATCTGTGTTAGTGAGCACTTCTCCTTTGCAGAGATAATCCATCCCACCTCACAGGTGTGGCATATCAAGATGCTGATTAGACAGCATGATTATTGCACAGGTGTGCCTTAGGCTGGCCACAATAAAAGGCCACTCTAAAATGTTCAGTTTTATCACACAGCACAATGCCACAGATGTCGCAAGTTTTGAGGGAGCGTGCAATTGGCATGCTGACTGCAGGAATGTCCACCAGAGCTGTTGCCCGTGAATTGAATGTTCATTTCTCTACCATAAGCCGTCTCCAAAGGCGTTTCAGACAATTTGGCAGTACATCCAACCAGCCTCACAACCGCAGACCACGTGTAACCACACCAGCCCAGGACCTCCACATCCAGCACGTTCACCTCCAAGATCGTCTGAGACCAGCCACCCGGACAGCTGCTGCAACAGTCAGTTTGCATAACCAAAGAATTTCTGCACAAACTGTCAGAAACCATCTCAGGGAAGCTCGTCTGCATGCTCGTCGTCCTCATCGGGGTCTCGACCTGACTGCAGTTCGTCATCGTAACCGACTTGAGTGGGCAAATGCTCACATTCGATGGCGTCTGGCACATTGGAGAGGTGTTCTCTTCATAGAAGAATCCCGGTTTTCACTGTTCAGGGCAGATAGCAGACAGCATGTGTGGCGTCATGTGGGTGAGCGGTTTGCTGATGTCAACGTTGTGGATCGAGTGGCCCATGGTGGCGGTGGGGTTATGGTATGGGCAGGCGTATGTTATGGACAACAAACACAGGTGCATTTTATTGATGGCATTTTGAATGCACAGAGATACCGTGATGAGATCCTGAGGCCCATTGTTGTGCCATTCATCCACGACCACCACCTCATGTTGCAGCATGATAATGCACGGCCCCATGTTGCAAGGATCTGTACACAATTCCTGGAAGCTGAAAACATCCCAGTTCTTGCATGGCCAGCATACTCACCAGACATGTCACCCATTAAGCATGTTTGGGATGCTCTGGATCGGCGTATACGACAGCGTGTTCCAGTTCCTGCCAATATCCAGCAACTTCGCACAGCCATTGAAAAGGAGTGGACCAACATTCCACAGGACACAATCAACAACCTGATCAACTCTATGCGAAGGAGATGTGTTGCACTGCGTGAGGCAAATGGTGGTCACACCAGATACTGACTGGTTTTCTGACACCCCCCAGACCCCCCCAATAAAGCAAAACTGCACATTTCAGAGTGGCCTTTTATTGTGGCCAGTCTAAGGCACACCTGTGCAATATTCATGCTGTCTAATCAGCATCTTGATATGCCACACCTGTGAGGTGGGATGGATTATCTCGGCAAAGGAGAAGTGCTCACTAACACAGATTTAGACAGATTTGTGAACAGTATTTGAGGGAAATGGTCTTTTGGGTATATAGAAAATGTTTTAGATCTTTGAGTTCAGCTCATGAAAAATGGGAGCAAAAACAAAAGTGTTTATATTTTTGTTTAGTGTACATCTGTGCTAGTAACATGACTGTAGGTTCAGGGCATTGTCTGTCTATGTGGGTCTGTCGAGGCTCTGTGGAAATTTGAATATTGTTTTTATTTGTTTTGTCAGTATAATCAAATCAACACACATTAACAGACTTTGGTAGAGCAGAATTCACTGAGCCCTAAATAATCACAAAGAAGCACTACAAAATGTCTAATCAAAACTAATAAATGAGAAGCAAAAAACAACAAAAAGAGCAAGGCTAAGGGCCCCGACATACCAAAGCTGACTGTCGACCATTAGTCAGTGCCGGGCTGTTGTCTGTCACCATAAATTCTGCGGTGTGTGCAGCATCGTTTGCACTAGTCGGCCCTTGTCAGCTTTTCTTTTTTTTCATCTTAAACTGGCATTGGAGAT